ATTGCGCTGCCCCCTCAGAAGGCCAAAATGGGGCCAAAACCTTAGTAACATCAATGATTTTGGCTTTAAAGAAGAGGGGAGCTTTAATTAGCGCTGCCCCCTCAGAAGGCCAAAATGGGGCCCAAACCTTAGTAAAATCAATGATTTTGGCTTCAAAGAAGAGGGGAGCCTTAATTAGCGTTGCCCCCTCAGAAGGCCAAAATGGGGCCAAAACCTTGGTAAAATCAATGATTTTGGCTTCCTCGCCGAGGCCGTTTTGGACGCTCTGACCGCTCCCCGCCCCTCCTGTCCAGGTCAGTGGGGAGGGGGTAGGGGGAGGGGTAAACCCCTCCCCGAAGGGGAAGAAGGAGGGGTGGAAGAGGAAACTCGTTAAACCACCGACGCCCTAAGGGGCTGGTGGGATTAGCCTCGCCCGTGGCCCGGACGTGCTTCCGCTCCCTGACCGTAGTCTCGGGGCCGCTGACCAAAAAAAACAGGCAGAGGGCCTTTCCAGCGGATGGTAGGTACGCAACACGAGTGGGCTTTGCAGGGGGAGGAAGTGCAGGAAGGTGCCGGTTGACCCTTTGCTTCGTCGGGTACTAGTGATCTCCATGGACTGGATCCCTGGACGGAGCATCGTGATGCTATGATTGCGGCTGAAATTAAGGGGACACGGCAGTGCCATATTACCAGATCCTTGAATGGGGGTGTGCCGAACGGGTACCGTGCCATGGATTTCTGGTTTGTGACAATGGCGGGACCGCTGTGGTGGCGTATTATGACATGGGCGGAGGTGTCGTTTACGAGTTGGGTATGAGAAGACGGGGCTGGAACATCTAGTGCAATGCTTCATTTGTCGTACTGGCCTGACGGTTGGTGCGAGGAGGGAGCAGGACAGCAATGACGGTGACCGCCCGACATCAGAGGCGGAGCTAACCAAGATAACACACATGTTGGCCGCGAAGCTTGACATTGAGACGGAGTTTGAACGACGACATGGGATTACAGCGGAGCCTGCAGGGGACTCCATGTTGTCGATTGTCTGGATGGGGGGATATGGAAATGCAGCTGTAGCAAATATCAGCAACAGGAGGAGGAGGAGGAGGAGGAGGAGGAGGAGGAGGAGGAGGAGGAGGAGGAGGAGGGGCTGTGCTGAACTCAGTATGATCGGGCCCGCGACGGGGCGCGACCCATGGGAGCATTATTCTCCAAATAGGCTTGCCCCATCGGAATTCTAACTCAAGGCTTACTAATTGGTCCGTTGCCCCCCCCTAATTCCTATGCCCCCCCCAATTCCTATGGCCATTCCCACTGGCCCCCCCAGCTATTTCAAATGGCGAGTCCTATGGATTCATACCTTTTCCTATGAGTCGCATGGATTCCTATGCTTGCTTGCTCGTGCTTGCTTGCTTGCTTGCTTGCTTACACTTGCTTGCTTGCACCTGCTTGCTTGCTTGCTTGCTCTTGCGTGTTTGCTCTTGCACACTCACTTGCACTTGCTTGCTTGCACTTGCGTGCTTGCTCTCGCTTGCTTGCTCTTGCTTGCCCTTGCTTGCTTGCACTTGACCGCTGGCTCTTGCTTGCTTGCTATTGTTCGCTTGCGCTTGTTTGCTTCCGCTTGCTTGCTTGCGCTTGCTTGATTTTGCTCCCCCCGTCCTCCCGTCCTGCTCCCGTCCTCCTTTCGTCCTCCTCTCATCCTCCTCTCGTCCTCCTCTTGTCCTCTTATCTATTTGGAGTCAACGTTGGCTGATATTCCAGAGAGGGAAATATTTGAGCTGATACTTCGACGTGGGGGTTGAGACATCTACCACTTGGTCCAAGAGAAGCGTTCCATATCACAGATTCCAATATATGTGAATGCCTGATCGCAGTCCGTGGTGAGTACGACCGTGGCGTAAGTTCTGCGGGGGCTGGAGGAGGCTGGTGGCTAGAAGGTGAGTTCACGAACGCTGTGGTCTCTAGGCATTGTGATTGCTATCGCACTTACTTTGAGTTTTTAGGGGAGGAGGCTTTCGGGCCCCCAGGGGAGTCCTCGGTTGCAGTCTTGTGGGCGTGAGGCTGCTTCTAGGCTTGCGCTTTCCGCCTGCAATATCTGCAAACCGTGCCAGATTTTTCAGCGTTCTGTGGAGCCTCGCTGGCTGCCCTTGCAGGTCCGTAAACGCAGACCAGGTTGACAGTTTACCGCCAGCGTCCAGTTCCCAATGCGTGTGCTGGAAGCGTTTCCATAGCTCCCTCTGAACTCATTGGGGGCTCCTGGAAAGCTATTTATTGAGGCTGCAAGCATGCTTTCCAGCGCCCTTCCAAGCGTCTTCCGCAGGCGTTTCACGCGCTTTGGACTGTACCGTCATCCAGGTTTTGGACGCCACATTCCTAACGCCCTCTGGGACAAGCGTGAAACCACATGGGTTCCTAACTGCCCTGGTGGGAGCAAAGGTGGAGGAACATGAGTATAATGAATAGGGACGGAGGGACTTTTGTTGAGAGGGAGGAAGCACGCGGACGACCATCAGGTTGGGGGTGAACATATCGATGAGCATGGTGAGGGTGATGGTGGTAGTGACGATTCCAATGCTGGTTGTTGTGGTGATGTTGCGCCAAACGGTTGCCTCCGATCGTGGGAATCTGCCATGCTGCTGGCAGCCAAGCTCTGACGATGACACTCAGTGTGGCGTGGTTTGGCGCGCAGCTGCTGATTTCAGACTCGGCTGAAGATGCTCCGAGGATGACGACTGCGCTTGAAGAAATCAGCAGATGACGACGGGGAGGGTATGGTTGTCTGTGGGCTACGGCCCATCGAGGCCGTTTCCCTTGCCCTGCTGGTTCTTCTGGGCGCGCGATGCTGCGCACGCGGCCGCCGTGCCAAAAAGAGGAGGATGAGGAGGCTGGAGAGGATGATTCTGCAGACGAGGGCGATGATGGTAGGCTCGGATTGGGCCCCCGCGCGTGCTGCGAGGGCCGTCCTCGGCTCAAGTTTTGTGCGTGCCTCGTGAACTTTTTAGAGGCGGCCCGCGCAGCCCCGCCGCGGAGGGGAAGGGGCAGGAAGGAGAGAGGCAGAGGAACGATAGGAGGAAAGCAGGGGCTTAGCTTTCTCGCCACCGGCGACGAGTGGAACGACAGGCAGAGGTCCGTCATGGCCGTCCTCGACGAGGGCGCGAGTCGAGTTCACATCTGCTGCCCAGCGATTGCTACAACCGATGGAGGTAGAGGAACGACAGGAGAAGAGCACGGGCCCAGCGTTTTCGCCACCGCTGCCGCTGATGCCACGACGACGATGACCACCTTCGCCCGCCACCGCACGTCATCCAAAATCACCCAGCCAACTATCCAGCCGCCCACCCAGCGGTCCACCCACCCCCGCCCCCACCCACACATTGATCCACCCACTCAACCGCCAACCCACCCAGCCCCAGCTCCCGCCTATCCGCCTGGCCGCCAACCCGCCCGCCAACCTACCGATCCCTGGACCGATCCCACCTGCGCACTTGCCCATCCATTCACAGGCCTGCCCACCTGCCTGCCTGCCCGCCCACCTGCACACACCCACTCACCAGGGCTGGTGCTCCAACCGTCTGTGCTACCGGGCCGCTGTCCCGTCCACCGCTCACCATGCCCACCATCACAGTCGCCCTCGCCACAGCCACCACTAGCGCCAGCACCGGCACCATGGGCATGCACTGCTGAAGTCAGTGGGTGTAGCAAGGTTGCAGCTAGCCTTCAATAGTTTGTGCTCAGGGGCGGGGCTTTTCAAATGGCGCGGTGTTTCTTTTGACATGCCGACAGTGCTCCCCCGTGTCTGTTTTGTTCAGCCGAAGTGCCCAGGATGGGTCAAGCCAGTGTTACTGTTCAGGGGATGTGTTCTGTTGTGTGCGACGTTTTCTGTTGAGTGGCCACCGGTGTTGTCAATCCGGATGCTTCCTGCGCAGTCGGCTAGTTTGCGTTCCATATCTTGTTGTGCCTCACTTGCTCTTCTCCTTCGTCGCCCGAGCTGCCAGGCTACTACCTCCGTGTAGGCAAACATGAGCAGCAGCGGGAGCTTCCGGTTCCTGAACCTAATCAAGCCGATGATGTGCGTCCTACCCGAGGTGTGTGTGTGTGTGTGTGTCAGGGGCAGGCAGGGATGCGAGGGACCGAAGCGGACCAGAGGAAGGGGGATGATTGATCTCGCTCGTCGGTATCTTCACTTCGTTCGGGTTTTGTCGGGAGTATTGTCTGCTCATCGCCTCGGCCAGTGCCTCCGTGATATTTGAAGCTAACGGGCGGCCGCACGGCGTGCTCACCAGGCGGGTGCTTGTATACGAGAGCGCAGGCCAGCCGGAGTGAGGTCCCACGCCTATCCCTGAAAGCTCACGTGTGGGAGGAGGCAGAGGATCAACGGTTCGCACGGGGGGTGTCATCATCTCAAAGTTGGGCGCAGGAAAACGAACCCAGCCGGATGCTCACGCTTCCCTCTTCCTGGGGCCGTTTCGGGCGGTTGTCCTCTGACCCCGCCTCTGCCTTCTTCGACCTTGGGCGTTTCCCCGAGCCGAGGCGCAGAGGGAGTGGGTGGGTGGAAGCTGCATCCGAGGAGATGGGTCAGCTCGCCTCGTGTCGGGCGTCGACCGCTTGAGAGGCAGATCTCGGTGGTGTGGGCCTGGCGGCTGCCCCCGTGATGGCCTGCGTGGTGTCGCGGGGGTGCAGTGCAGCCCTCGCCCTCCACTTCTCTTTCCTCTTTCGCGGCCTTTTGCCTCATCGACACCGGGGCGAGGAGGAAAGACTGGTCTACTCTGTAAGAACGGTTTTCTGAAGGCAGATCTGCCTTCAAAAAGAACGGTTTTTTGAAGGCAGATCTGCCTTCAAAAAACCGTTCTGACACAAGACTGGGTAGTCCGAGACGCGAACCTGCTCAGCCCGTCTCCCGGCCTCCTGTGGAGCGCGCGGGCGGACCGACCCTGCCGCGCTGCGACGTCGACAGAGATTGGGCGGTGTCGCGGGCCCGAGCCCGCGCAGAACATCTTTGGAGACCGGCAGCGGCCCCCCCGCAGCCCGAGATGCTGCTCGAGCCAGGCAGTCCCGCAGACGGAGAATGCTTTCGGACTGTGGGCTTCTCGATTGCGTACCTCCTGATCAGTCAGCCCTCAGCCGCCCACAAATCCACCACCATCTGGATCACCACTCAAGGTTGCTTGACCTCTGGTGCGCCAGCGTTGCTCCGCAAAGCGTGCAGGAGCTACCGGGGCGAGGCTGGCGGCTCGTGCCGTTCCAGATTTCGGCAGGCCTTCGCCTCGCAGAGAGTTGACATGCACAAGACCAGGGCGAATGTCCAGGCTCATCGACCTGGACTTCAGAGTCGAACGGTTTAAGATCAACCCACGATCGATGCTCCTCGACGGATCCGCGTCTTTTTATCGTCATGTCGAATGCGCCTGCAAAGTGTACCGACTCCCTCGTGCTAACTAGAACCACATGTTCGTAAGTCGTCGCGCAAGCTTTGTAGCCTAGAGTCTTCAGCACGCTGAGTGCGTTCGGCTCTTAATTTCAAAGGGAGCCATTTGTCCAGTTCATCATCTTTTATAGGGTCGGCATTATACCATCGTCACCCTTTCCTCCCGCCGGTGCGAAGACGTCACTAGCATATTCATATGGGAAAGACGAGGGGAAAGCGATGATGCTAATGATGATGATGGTGATGGTGATGATGATGATGCTGAGTATGATGATGATTATGATGATGCTGATGCAGCTGATGATGATGATGATGATGCTGGTGCTGACGATGCTGCTGCTGATGATGGTGATGATGCTGATTCTGATGATGATGATGATGCTGATGATGCTGCTGCTGATGATGATGATGATGATGATGATGATGATACTGATGCTGATGATGATGACGCTGATGATGCTGATTCTGATGATGCATGCTGACGATGATGCTGATTATTATCATGGTGATGCTGATGCTGATGCTGATGCTGATGCTGGGGGTGGTGGTGGTGGTGAGGATGATGACGATGATGATGACGACGATTATGATGATTGTGCTGATGTTCATGGTGATGATGCTGATGCTGATGCTGATGATGACGATGATGATGACGATGATGCTGATGCTGATGATGATGATGATAAGGATGCTGATGATGACGACGATGCTGATGACGATGATGCTGATGATGCTGCTGCTGATGCTGATGATGATGATGCTGATGATGATAAAGATGACGATGCTGATGATGCTGCTGCTGATTATGATGCTGATGCTGATGATGATAATCATGACGATGACGATGCTGATTCTGATGATGCATGCTGACGATGATGATGTCGCTGATGATGATCATGATGCTGATGCTGATGCTGATGCTGATGATGAGGGTGGTGGTGGTGGTGGTGATGGTGGTGAGGATGATGACGATGACGATGATGACGTCGACGACGATTATGATGATGCAGATATTGATGATAAAGATGACGATGATGATGATGCTGCTTATGATGATGACAATGTTGATGATGACGATGATGACAATGTTGATGGCGACGATGATGATGATGATGATGATGATGATGATGATGATGATGATGATGATGATGATGATGATGATGATGATGATGACGACGACGACGACGATGATGATGAGATGAGATGATGAGAGAGGAGAGTGAGGGAGGAAGTATGAGGAGGAGGGAGGAGGAGGAGAGTATCAGGAGGAGGAGGAGGAGGAGGAGGAGGAGTGAGGAGGAGAGGAGGAGGAAGGGCAGGAGGAGGAGAAGGGGCGGGAATGGTCCAGAAAAGCTACTTTCAAGCCCCACAGCTGCAGAACAGCGCAGAGGATCAGATACTCAAATCGACGACCGTTACAAGTGGAATTGGCGTATGAAGACGAGCACGCAACCATGCCGTGTCGTGCAGCCAGCGCGCGCAGCAACTTGCCGCACGGGGAGCGGCCATCTTGGTGCTGTCTGCACCGCAGGCAGGTTGCCCCCTGGGCGTCCAGGCGCTCTGCTGGTCGTGCGGCTCACCCGTTTTCCCCCGCTTCGTTTCGGTCTTCCCCCGCTGCGTCCACGTGCTCTGCTGGTCTTCCCCCGCTTTCGTCTCCCATTCCCCGCCCCCCTCTGCCCCATTCGCCGCTTCCGCCGCCGCGCCCGCCGCTGCCCGTGCGCCGCTCGACTCCGGCACCCGTGACGACCGACCATCGCTTGGCGCCGATCGTCTGACGATTGCGGCCCGCCCGGTCTGCTCCGTTTCAGCGCTTCCGCGACGCCCTGCTGCCTGCCTGTTTCGGCCCCCCCTTCCTCCTGCCTGCCTTTGCTACCCTTAAATCGGGCCTGTCCCTCCACAGGAGGAAAATCCCCAAATAGTCAAAACATACTCCTCGGACATTTTTTAAGGTTTTTTGTTGACGAATTCGGAGCACTTGTTGAGTATTTTCATTCTCTGTCCAGAATCCGCCTGTAGGAGGACATGCTCCACCTACTGCTACCCAGGAGCGGCACGGTCAGGCCTGGCCAGCTTTGGCGCGGCAGCTTCGCGCTGCAGCCACACCGAGAGGCGTCGTGAGCGACCAGTGGCGTCCCTTGCTTCCACCCTTTCCTCCCTCTTGCCTCCTCGTCCTCCTTGCCCGCGTCCCAGTCCTCCTCCTCCTGCTCCTGTGGCGCCGCTCGGTGCTGCCCGTGCCCTCTCGCATGGGGTCGACCGAGCGCCGTGGAGGCCCCTTGCCGTCAGTTGGGAAGCTGGTGCTTCTCTCAGGTCGGGCGTGTCCCTACAGGAGGAGTTTTCAACAATAGAACAACGATAGTCTGGGGAGTTTTTTTTTTTTTTTTTTTTTTATTTTTTTGGGGTTGGGGGGGTGGGGGGGGGGGGTGGGGGTGGGGGGGGGGGGGGGGGGGGGGGATGGGGTGTTGTATGGGGGTGTGGGGGGGTGGAGGGTGTGGTGGGAGGGGGGGGTGGGGGGTAGGAGGGGGTGTGGTGGTAGGGTGGTGGGGGGGTGGGGGTGTGGGTGGGGGGATGGTGGTGGGTGGGGGGGGGGGGGAGGGGGGGGGGGGTTGGGGGGGTTGGGGGGGGGGGGGGGGTGGGGGTGTGTTGGGGTGGTGGTTGGGGGGTTGGTGGTGGTGGGGGGGGGGGGGTGGTGGGGGTGGGGGGGGTGGGTGGGGGTGGTGGTGTGGTAAGGGGGGGGAGTTGGGTTTGGGGGGTGGTGGGGGGGTGGTATGTTTCCCCCCCCCGTTTTTTTTTTTTTTTTCTTTGTTGTTGTTGTTTTTGTTTTTGTTTGTGTGTGTTTTGATCTGTTTTTTTATACATGCATACATCTCTCTATATATGTATATGATTCAACAATTTCTAAGTTTCCTCCCAAATCCGCATGCAGGAGGATATGCCCGACCTAACGCTTCTCATCAGGGCCCTGCATTTGCCGATGGACGTCCTTTCGGACAGGAAAGGGCGGCAAGGAGGATCAGGAGGGAGGGGAGGACGAGACCGACTGACGGTGATGGCGAATTCTCGCCTGAGGCGCGAGCAATGAGCCTTGGAACGTGGAGATGGTTAAGCAACTGACATCTCCATGCCACGCACTGTGAACTCATCCAGCTCGAGTCGCAGGCGAAGCCGGAGAGGAGGGCGGGAAGCAGAGGGACGAGCAGAGGGACGCGCAGAAATGAGGAGGCCGTGGCCCCGAAGGTGCAGGCGCCCGACCGGAGGATCCCCTTCAAGGAGCGGCGACCCCCCAGATTCGACTACACGTAAGAGTGACTCTTCGCCGGATTGACCTTTGGTGCGGGCCTACTGGGATCCCCCGATCGCCGAACGCGATGCGATAGTAGCGTCTTGCGCGCCTGAGTTTGGTCACCCCGCGTCACCCAGAAAGCCGCGCACCAGAGGAGGATGGGGGGTCGGAGGAGGAGGAGGCGGAGGAGAAGGAGGCGGAGGAGGCGGAGGAGGAGGAGGAGGAGAAGCCGGAGGAGGTGGAGGAGGAGGAGGCGGAGGCGGAGGAGGCGAGGAGGGAGAAGGAGGAGGAGGGAGGAGAGGAGGAGGAGGCGGAGAGGAAATGAGGAGGATGAGGAGGAGTAGTGAGGCGGAGGGCGAGGCGGAGGCGGAGGAGGAGAGGAGGAGGAGAGGAGGAGGAGAAGGAAGGAGGAGGAGGAGGAGGAGAGGAGGGGAGGGTTGCGCATCGCGCGTGGAACGAAGGATCGTGGACCGGGGAAGAGCAGCCCTTCCCCAGAGCGGAAAAAGGGGGCCATGGTGACTTCCCACCCCGGGCGGTGCCGATCGAGTCGCAATCGGTCGGACGTCGGAGGCCCCCCTCCCACGCCTCTCCTTCTCCTCCTCCACCTCCTCCTCCTCTTCTCTCCTCCTCTTCCTCTCTTCCTCCTCCCCTCCTCCTTCTCCTCCCCCCCGTTTTCTTTCGTCGTCGTCTTCCTCCTCCTCCACCTCCTCCCCGGGTCCTCCCTCCTCCTCCTCCTCCTCCTCCTCCTCCTCCTCCTCCTCTCTGTCGCCTTGTTTCTCCTCCTCCTCCTCTCCGAGGCGCACGCTCGCCCGTTCTCTCGCGCGCCCCGCGCGCCAGCAGACCGCAGAGCGGCACGCTCGGGGGGTGGGTGCGGGGCGGCCCTGGGTTGGCAGGCCACGGGGGTCAGCCCAGACGGGTGCCCGTCGGTCAGCGGGTTGCAGTGTGTAAGTCGCGTGGGGCTCGGCCCCCAGAGGCAGGAGTGCAGGGCGGAGGGTGCGAGGGCGGGACAGAATTCGTGGCCGCGGTAGTGGGAAGCGGTAACCTCATGAAGCAGTTACCCCCCCCCCCCTTTCCGGCGAAAGTATAACGCACCCGGCACCCCAGAAGCGTTACCATGGCACCTCGCACCTTTACGTATGTGAACGCAGAAAGTCTGCTCGCCGAAACAATCAATCCTCCTCCTCCAGCTAAACAGAACAAATCCTGCTCCTGCTCCTCCTCCTCAAGACTCCCTTACGGCACGGCACCAGCACTAACAACGACAACACTACCAGCAATAATAATAATTATATCTAGAACAACTAGGCCAATCACAGCAACACCAACGACAACATCAACATCAAAGACACCAACAACACTGCCAACACGAACAAAAACAACTTTCAGTTCCACGCAAGGGAGAGCCCCGCTTTGAAAAGGAGCCGTCCATGCCTACGATGGGGGGCGAACCATTTTGGCGGTGCGGGTGCTAAGATAACGCGCCGTGCGTGGCGGGGGCGATGTCCTCGGATGCTTACCTCACACGACGGCCGGGAAATTAATTTTTCAATAGGGGTGGTAATAAGAGTCGTATAGGACAAGGGTGATAAAGAACATGAGAAAAAGAAGGGAGGGAGGAAAGAAGCAGGGGAGCCCGT